GAATTCCGTATAAACATTTTAAATGATGTTTACGTGAGCCAAACACTTTCTGGCCATTATTGGTCTGTGAAGGCCTCAAGGGTTTCCTTCTCTCAGTCAGACTGACAGATCGGGCCAAGCTGACTGACAGATGGGTGAGGCTGAAGTGGAGGTGGGGAACAAACTTACCAGTAGAGCACAGTTAGGGCTGCACTGAGCTAGGACAAAATCTGCTGACTGGCTCACTAGGTCTCCCAGTGACTGTTTGTGATTAGGCAGCCCTACAGAGAAGGCAGTTGTTTTTTAGTTCTTTTGGTTACAGAGCACTAACTAGTTAGCTTCAGCCTCTTCAGATGTGGCAGGGTGAAGATGTGCTCTGTTTCTTGCTAGATCTCTCTCTTAATGAAAGAGAATATTTTTCATGATTGCATTTGTTATCACCAGAAACTACTGTTGACATTTTCAACTGAATTCTCCCCATTTATGTTGGAACCCCTATTCGTCTGTTGCTCTTTCCGTGGCACTTTTAGTGGCCCTGATTTTTGCCCTTTGCAGGTTTATTCCAGCCGCTTGACTGCTATACATTTTCTTGGTGAACCTCCCCTATTTCTGCCTGCAAGTTCTTAGTCAATCTTTACATTAGGGTCCAACATTTCAAGCACTTTCTCTGGACAATATCAGTGCCTCTTGTCTTCCTTTGCTCAGAAAAACTCCAAGCAGAGATCAATCTGATCATCTCCCTCCTCCATTCCTAGCTGTGGGCTGTTGCTGTGGAGAAAATCTTATTCCTGTGCAGCTTAGTACCACTATAGAGTCATGCTCTTCTTCTTCTTTTTTTTTTTAAATGTTTCTTTTTATTTATTTTTGAGAGAGAGAGAGAGACAGCGTGAGCAGGGGAGGGTCAGAGAAAGAGGGAGATACAGAATCAGAAACAGGCTCCAGGCTCTGAGCTGGCTGTCAGCACAGAGCCCGATGCGGGGCTCGAACCCACAAACTGTGAGATCATGACCTGAGCCAAAGTCGGACACTTAACCGACTGAGCCACCCAGGCGCCCCAGAGTCATGCTCTCCTATCACACATTGTTCATGAGAAGGATACACATTAAGTGGCATAACAACCTGACTGTCTCTGGCCTGAGACACCACTTACTCATGACATGTTAGATTTATCCAGCTGGCCCACTGCATGGTGATTGATCTCCTCAGGGTTTTCTCTTGTCACAAGTGACATGAAGAAACCTCTGTATGGCCAGTTATTTGCCCTTGATTCACTCCCTGAAAAGACTACATCTCCCTCACAGTCCTTTAGAGTGTATACTGCTACTAAGACTAACATCTCTAATTATTGGGGCATCTGAGTGGCTCAGTCGGTTAAGGGTCCAACTTTGGCTCAGGTCATCATCTCATGATTCATGGGTTTCAGCCCCGCATCAGGCTTTGTGCAGTCAGCTCAGAGCCTGGAGCCTGCTTTGGATTCTGTGTCTTCCTCTCACTCTGCCACTCCCCGACTCATGCTCTGTCTTTCTCTGTCTCTCAAAAATAAATTTAAAAAAACGTTAGAAAAATTTAAAAACCCTAAAATTTATTGGGTGGCTACTATGTGCTAGACACAGTGCTAGCCACTTTTATGTCCATTAACTTAATTTTCACAGAAACCTTGGCATGTAGGTATGATAATTCAGACTTTACAGTTGAGATAATTGATACTCATAAGAGTTAAGGAACTCACAAAGACCACAAAACTATAAAGGCATGGAGTTGGGATTTAAACTCATGTCCAGTTGATTCGAAGCCCAAACTCTTCAGTGTTCAGCACTGGCTCCTATATTATTTTTGAGAGGTGTTTCTTAATTTTGAATGTTACACAAATAGCAAACTTAAGAAATGCAAAAAACTGGAAAAAATAAAATAATTTAAATAAAAATAGTTTTAATCACACATTGTTTGTTACCCAAAGACACTTCTGAATGTTTTCTTTTCCTAGTCCTGTTTTCTACACCATATTTTATTTGTTCGTGTATATATTATATTTCACATGGTTCGGCTAATATAACATATATTATTACCTTCTTTTTCACCAATAAAAAGTATTTTTTCATAATACAGATTCGTTACAAAATGCTTTTCAGTGGCTATAAAATTAAAATTTCCACTGAGGAATGTCATAAACGCTGATACTTTCCATAAAGTAAGAAATGTAATTTTAGGAGGAAGGATAAAGAGAGCTGGACTCCTAGTGGTGGGCCAAGGTTGCTCTATTTCAGATTGAAGAATGCAATAAGTGTAGACATTTCACATGGAGCTTCATTAAAATTCAGCTTTATAAATCCTCAAGAAGAACAAGCAAAGGTAGATGAGTCCAAGTACTTATTTGAATTTGTGGAGATTTGTTGGAAAGGTCATCATCAGCCCTAAGAAATGTAAGTAAATTCCTTGAATTCCATTGCTGTAGTCTTTATTCTGACTTTTCTACACCCCTAGGTTTGCATCCAAAGAAAGTCATAATCTTGCTACTCAGCCTTGTTTTCTCCCTTCCACAGCTGCACAGTATAATAACCTATGAGCCTAGCTTAAGTCCTTGAGTTGGTCTCAGGATGCGTTCACTTTGATTCGAATTCAAGATTAAGCCTTTAGTGGCATTTAGTCCTGATCTGTTTCTACTGGGAGTTGATGGCACATGTTATGTGTGTCACACAGGCCCCAGATATGGCTCCTGCAAAATATTTCAAGAACATTAGCAGCAGGAGCCCAGATGTGATCAGCAAGTCCTTTGTCTCTAGAGAAGATTGATATTGCCATGGAACCTGAATTGAGAGTCTAATAACTGATTTGGCTCTGGCAATTTAAAGACTTAAGAGATGAAGTAGAGATTCCATCAACTATGGATTTTATCCCAACTGAACACCAATAACCTGTGTCATCATAATTTTCACACTAGAAAGTATCTGCATAAGTGATTCTCAACTACAGAGCAAATGATTAATTACAGAAATCAGTTGATGGTATATTCCCATTATTCATCAATTCAGTGTGTTTTCTAGTGAACTAAAAAAAAGTATGTGTTATGTGCACATATACACACACCTACACCCACTCCATTGTAGAAATTTCGAAATTATAATGCTTTTTTTGTCATAAATCAATTTTCAGTTTATGCATAGATTTCTTCCTTAATGGGTATCTTTTGTCTCATTCTATACCTATGTTTTGCACAGTATTCATTTTGCACACTATTCATTTATTAAATATTATAGCTTTATAATACGCCTCAGTGTCTAGTAGGACACATCCTTTTACACTGTTGTTGTTCTTTAAGATTATGTGGATCTTTCTGATTCATTGTTTTCCATAGGAATTTTGTAATAAACTTGTGATGTTATATAGAAAAGCAAACTTAAACAAAAACTTTACTCAACTTTGATCAGAATTACATTAATTTGTAGATTAGTTGGGGATATCTGATATTTTTATGATATTGGGATTTCCTATCAAGGGCTATAGCATATCTTTCCATTTATTTAGGTATTATTTTGTCTGCTTTATTTAAGACATTCTCTGTGTAATGTTTTAGACATTTTTGTTAAATTAACTACTGAGCACTATATAGTCTCTTTTCTTTTTTTGAGTAGGGTAATAGTTTCTAAAAATATTTTTATTATTGAAGTATAGTTGATATACAATGTTATATTTGTTTCAAGTACACAACATAGTGATTTGACATTTGTATGCACTATGAAATGCTCACCGCAGTAAGTGTAGTGCCCATCTGTCACCATACAAGGCTATTACAATATTACTGACTATATTCCCTATGCTGTACTTTTCATCTCCATAACTTATTCACTCCTTTTCATCCCCTTCACATATTTTACCCATACTCCCACCCACTTTCCTCTGGCTACCACCAGTTTTATCATTTCAATAAAAAGAAACATAAATTAATTTAATAAAATGAAAAATGATTTGTGTAACTAAGGATATATAACTTTTCTTGGAAATATATAAGTATGTATAAGGCAATTTTAATAAATTATAATCCTATTATTGAAATTTGGGGAATTAAAACAATTTTTATAATTATTCAGTTACAGAAATGTTGTCTAATTTCCTTTGTTTAAATCCTTTTCAACGGTTTCTTCTGCGACCAACAAATTATTTTAAAGTATGTTATTTATTTTCCAAGTGTTTAGGGGTTTTCCTGAAATTTGTTTTCTATTATGTATTTGTTTGTTTGTTTATTTAATGTTTATTTATTTTTGGAGAGACAGCAATTTGAGGAGGGGCAGAGAGAGAGAGAGAATCCGTAGCAATTTTTATAATTATTCAGTTATAGAAGTGTTCTCAAATTTTCTTTGTTTATATCTTTTTCAACAGTTTCTTCTGCGAATAACAAATTATTTAGAAGTATGTTACTTAATTTCCAAGTTGTTTGTTTGTTTATTTAGTGTTTATATATTTTTTGAGAGAGAGTAATTTGAGGAGAGGTGAGAGAGAGAGAGAAAATCTCAAGCAATTTTCATAATTATTCAGTTATAGAAATGTGAAATTTCCTATGTTTAAACTTTTTCAACGGTTTCTTCTGCGACCAACAAATTATTTAGAAGTATGTTATTTAATTTCCAAGTGTTCAAGGGATCTCCTGAAATTTGTTCTCTATTATTTGTTTGTTTGTTTATTGAATGTTTATTTATTTTTTGAGAGAGAGCAATTTGAGGAGGGGCAGAGAGAGAGAACGAGAATCCCAAGAAGCTTGATGTGAGTCTCAAACTCACAAATCATGAGATCATCACCTGAGCCAAAACCATGAGTCGGAAGCTTAACCAACTGCGCCACCCAGCTGCCCCTTGACTTCTAATTTAATTCTATTTTAATAAGAGAACATGATCTGTATGATTTTAATGCTCTAAATGTACTGAAATGGTTTTGTGGCCCAGCATTTTTTAAATCTTTAGGACCGTTATACATGGAAATGTATATTCTATAGTTGCTAGGCGCCTTGTTCTGTAAACACATGGGACCAAGTTTGTTGGCAGCCTGGTAAGACTTTGATACCCTTACTTATTTTCTGTTTACTTGCTCTATTGATTACTGGTAGAGGAGTATTGAACTCACCAACTGTAATTGTGGCTTAATTTCTTCTTCAACGGTTTCTTCTGGGACCAACAAATTATTTAGAAGTATGTTATTTCATTTCCAAGTGTTCAGGGGTTTTAGTGAAATTTGTTTTCTATTATTTATTTGTTTGTTTGTTTACTTAGTGTTTATATATTTTTTGAGAGAGAGCAATTTGAGGAGAGGGACAGAGAGAGAGAGAGAGAATCCCAAGAAATTTTGAACATTATCAGTTATAGAAGTGTTGTCTAATTTCCTTTGTTTAAATCTTTTTCAACGGTTTCTTCTGCCAACAAAAAATTATTTTAAAGTATGTTATTTAATTTTCAAGTGTTCATGAGTTTTCCTGAAAATTGTTTTCTATTATTTATTTGTTTGATTGTTTACTTAGTGTTTATGTATTTTTTGAGAGAGAGTAATTTGAGGAGAGGTGAGAGAGAGAGAGAAAATCAAGCATTTTTCATAGTTATTCAGTTATAGAAATGTTGTCTATTTTCCTTTGTTTAAATCTTTTACAACGGTTGCTTTTGCGACCAATATATTCTATAAAGTACGTTATTTATTTTCCTAGTGTTTCGGGCTGTTCCTGAAATATGTTTTCTATTATTTATTTGTTTGTTTGTTTATTGAATGTTTATTTATTTTTTGAGAGAGAGCCATTTGAGGAGGGGCAGAGAGAGAGCGAGAGAATCCGAAGCAATTTTTGTAATTCTTCAGTTATAGAAATGTTGTCTAATTTCCTTTGTTTAAATCTTTTTGACCAGTTTCTTCTGCGACCAGCAAATAATTATGTTATTTATTTTCCAAGTGTTTAGGGGTGTTCCTGAAATTTATTTTCTATTATTTATTTGTTTGTTTGTTTATTTAATGTTCATTTATTTTTTGAGAGAGCAATTTGAGGAGGGGCAGAGAGAAAGAGAGAGAGAGAGAGAGCATCCCAAGCAATTTTTGTAATTATTCACTTATTGAAGCGTTGTCTAATTTCCTTTGTTTAAATAATTTTCAACCGTTTCTTCTGCGACCAACAAATTATTTAGAAGTATATTATTTAAGTTCCAAGTGTTCAAGGGTCTTCCTGTAATTTATTTTCTATTATTTATTTGTTTGCTTCTTTATTGAATGTTTACTTATTTTCTGAGAGAGAGCATTTTGAAAAGAGGCGGAGAGAATTAGAGAGAGAGAGAGATCCCAAACAATTTTTATCATTATTCAGTTATAGAAGCGTTGTCTAATTTCCTTTGTTTAAATCTTTTTCAACGATTTCTTCTGCGACCAACAAATTATTTTAAAGTACGTTATTTAATTTCCAAGTGTTTATGAGTTTCCTGCAATTTGTTTTCTATAATTTATTTGTTTGTTTGTTTATTGAATGCTTATTTATTTTTTGAGAGAGAGCAATTAGAAGAGGGGCAGAGAGAGAGAGAATCCGTAGCAATTTTTATAATTATTCAGTTATAGAAGTGTTCTCAAATTTTCTTTGTTTATATCTTTTTCAACGGTTTCTTCTGCGAATAACAAATTATTTAGAAGCATGTTATTTAATTTCCAAGTTGTTTGTTTGTTTATTTAGTGTTTATATATTTTTTGAGAGAGAGTAATTTGAGGAGAGGTGAGAGAGAGAGAGAGAGAGAGAAAATCCCAAGCAATTTTCATAATTATTCAGTTATAAAAATGTGAAATTTCCTATGTTTTAATCTTTTTCTACGGTTTCTTCTGCGACCAACAAATTATTTTAAAGTATGTTATTTATTCTCCAAGTGTTCAGGGGATCTCTGGAAATTTGTTTTCTATTATTTATTTGTTTTTTTAGTGAATGTTTCTTTATTTTTAGAGAGAGACCAATTTGAAGAGGGGCAGAGAGAGAGAGTGAGAGAGAATCCCAAGCAATTTATATAATTATTCAGTTATAGAAATATGTCTAATTTCCTTTGTTTAAAGCTTTTTCAACGGTTTCTTCTGAGACCAACAAATTATTTAGAAGTATGTTATTTTTTCTCCAAGCGTTCTGGGGATCTCCTGAAATTTGTTTTCTATTATGTATATGTTTGTTTGTTTATTGAATGTTTATTTTTTTGAGAGAGAGCAATTTGAGGAGGGCCAGACAGAGAGAGAGAGAGAGAGAGAGAGAATTCCAAGCATTTTTTTAAATTCTTCAGTTATAGAAATGTTGTCTAATTTCCTTTGTTTAAATCTTTTTCAATGGTTTCTTCTGCGATCAACAAATTATTTTAAAGTATGTTATTTAATTTCCAAGTGTTCATGAGTTTTCCTGAAATTTGTTTCCTATTATTTATTTGTTTGTTAGTTTATTTAGTGTTTATATAATTTTTGAGAGCGAGTAATTTGAGGAGAGGTGAGAGAGAGAGAGAAAATCTCAAGCAATTTTCATAATTATTCAGTTATGGAAATATTGTCTAATTTCCTTTTTTAATCTTTTTCAACGGTTGGTTTTGCAACCAATAAATTATTTTAAAGTATGTTATTTAATTTCCAAGTGTTCAGGTGTTCTCCTGAAATTTGTTTTCTATTATTTATTTGTTTGTTTGTTTATTGAATGTTTCTTTACATTTTGAGAGAGAGCAATTTGAGGAGGGGCAGAGAGAGAGAGAGAGAGAGAGATAGAATCCCAAGCAGTTTTTTAAATTCTTCAGTTACAAAAATGTTGTCTAATTTCATTTGTTTAAATCTTTTTCAACGGTTTCTTCTGCGATCAACAAATTATTTTAAAGTATGTTATTTAATTTCCAAGTGTTCATGAGTTTTCCTGAAATTCGTTTCCTATTATTTATTTGTTTGTTAGTTTATTTAGTGTTTATATAATTTTTGAGAGCGAATAATTTGAGGAGAGGTGAGAGAGAGAGAGCATCCCAAGCAATTTTTGTAATTATTCAGTTATAGAATTGTTGTCTAATTTCCTTTGTTTAAATCTTTTTCAACGGTTTCTTCTGCGACCAACAAATTATTTTAAAGTATGTTATTTAGTTTCCAAGTGTTCAGGGGTTTTTCTGAAATTTGTTTTCTATTATTTATTTGTTTGTTTCTTTATTTATGCTCATTTATTTTTTGAGAGAGAGCAATTTGAGGAGAGGCAGAGAGAGAGAACGAGAATCTCAAGAAGCTTGATGTGAGTCTCAAACTCACAAATCATGAGATCATCACCTGAGCCAAAACCATGAGTCGGAAGCTTAACCAACTGCGCCACCCAGCTGCCCCTTGACTTCTAATTTAATTCTATTTTAATAAGAGAACATGATCTGTATGATTTTAATGCTCTAAATGTACTGAAATGGTTTTATGGCCCAGCATTTTTTAAATCTTTAGGACCGTTATACATGGAAATGTATATTCTATAGTTGCTAGGCACCTTGTTCTGTAAACACATGGGACCAAGTTTGTTGGCAGCCTGGTAAGACTTTGATACCCTTACTTATTTTCTGTTTACTTGCTCTATTGATTACTGGTAGAGGAGTATTGAACTCACCAACTGTAATTGTGGCTTAATTTCTTCTTCAACGGTTTCTTCTGGGACCAACAAATTATTTAGAAGTATGTTATTTCATTT